TATGAATCTCATGGGTACGAAGACGGCATCTATTGATACAAATATGAAAGTGGTAACGCCATATTGAGCGAATGTTGCTCGTAAAGCTTGGGGTAATTTACCTTGTGGTTCTACAAGTATTTGAGGAACTATTTCTCATATAGTGTTAGCAACTAATTTAACATGGGTAATAATCACTATTTAAACATTGGGAACTAGAATGAGCTGCTCGGATTCGAAAAAATCGAAGAAAATAAAGAGCAGTTAAGTGGAAACATGGGTAACGTTCTTGGGAAAGAATGCGGGGATGGAGAGAAAGATGAAATGCCGCAGGAAATGTGCGGTGAAGATGTTAGAGAGGAGGCCGATGGGGCTCCCAGTGGAGATGAACAGTCTTCTCAATCTATTGGAGAACTCGATAGCTACGAATTGAAACGGCCAGATGAAATCAAGGTGAGCTGTTTGTGTTTGGGTATAGGTTATCAAAAAGTAGGATAGGCTTAAATTTGCAATTGAGTTATAACAAATATTGTATTTAGGTTCATTATCCAGAGTTTTGTTAATTCGCATTTCTCAGTGTCAGTTTCTTGTTTACAGCAGTTGAGAGATGCATATTTTATAGACAAATGAAAGGTAAAGAATTGCAAAAGTTGTAGATGAAAATATTAAAACCATTGCTGAACCTAATGTTGATCATTGTTGAATTTAGTTAGCATACTGTAGCCTTTGTTAATGTGTGCTGTTAATTATATATTGTTTTTACAGCGTTTCTTAATATTTGAACCAGATCGCAAGGAAGCAACACTGTTCATTTCACTCTTCAGAGGTGCAATGCAGTAAATCCTCGATTTAATGGCCACTGTGTTATATTGCCAGATACTTTCTGGATGCAAGGCTTTAGCGGATATTCTCCATTTTAACGGACAAAGACTATTGAAATTGAAAATGTCCAATAATGACTTGGATTTAAATTTTATGTTTAATTATCTGTTCACACTAGTGGTTTAATGAACCGTATGTTATTGTAGGTGTCTGATTAATGTTCCTAATCTGTTTAATGAGATTTTTAAAGGATATTGTGGCCTAAGGCCGCATTACTGTCATAAAAAGTGCAATTTAATGGACAATTGACATTACCAGACACCAATTTCCTTGCTATTAGTGCATTAAATTGAGGGTTTTCTGTATTATGAACCATCTTTGAATATGTTATATTACCTAACTTAAACATTTTTCAAAAGCTACCTTTATTTATTTATATTATTATAAATGCATTTTATTGCTGTATCAAGTGTGTTGTAATTTTCAAATATTGCTGTACTCATTGTATTTACACTAATAATTTTATATCTAGTCTGTCATTTATTAAACACTGTGTTGTACACCGGCAAATGCCTTTAGCCACACACACACATACACACTCATACTTATAAGTATTTGTAAAACTATTAACAGTAGCATTACTACTTCTACTACTATGGCGTAACATTAATGCAGGATAATTATGAGACAGGAAGTTGAGTTATGAGGTAAGTCCGTGTTATAATATTGGCTGCAGTGCGATACAAAATGAATTGGAAAACAATGGTATTACAAGTTACAGAAATAACAAGCTCTGACTACCTGTGATGTCCTTGATGTATTCACATGAGACGTGACATTAAAGACTAAGGAAGGTGGTGTAGTAGTAATGATCTAGACTTGTATCTTTGAGGAACCTGGTTAAAAGTTTATGGCATTTGGCTGTAGTAACTAAGGTTTCTTATTGTTTTTCCCAAGACCATGCAACCTCTCTTAACCTCACCTACTGACCATTCATGATCATCTTTCAATCTAATTCAAGACATAAGCTGCAGCAAGATCGTGAAATAACCTAAGAATTGGTCATTTTTATTTTATTTTCCTTTAAAATGTTCATACTTGGGAATGAAGGGTGTTGGTAGGGAGAGCTTGACTAGCTAATTATAAGCTTATTAAAGAAGACTGTATTATTGATTAAATTTACAGAAATCGACCTTGTAATGAACTTCTGCCTCTAGAAGCTTTGCTATGAAAAGCATGAGCTTGGTGCAGCATGAGAGTTAAAGGCTTTCTCTCTAAACACACTTAAATTTTTGAAAGATCATGGCCAACATTATTACAAACAGAACCAGAAAACAGCATCTTCACTGGAAACCATGATAACTTGAAACTGTAGTTATCACCCAAGAAATTCTACAGGGTGATCCTCTCACTAGGGGCTCCAAAATTGTGGCCGTAGAACCTCTGTTTATGAACAAATGATCAGATGTTGTAGGTACATACCTCAACCGTGAAACTGAATCTCACCACATTGGGTGCTGAAAGTGATTGCCTGTGGAATCCATGTATAATGGGATGCTGTGGTCCAAATTAGCAAAGACACATGTTCATAGCCATGGTTGTAATTTCATGTCAAATGTTTTCTTTAATGTTGTTAATCATGTGAGAATTGTTTCTGTAGACCTTTGCCTTAATAGGTCACACAGGATGAAACCTGGAGGGGTTGAACACTACCCTAGTGATGATGATGGCATTTCCAATCCAGAAGACGACTTTATTTAATATCTCACTTTTAAAATCTTATAAACAAGTGCAGAATTTACCCTTCTTACCTGAAGCTGTTCATTAAAGTTGTTTTTACAGTTCTTCAAATACTGTATCTCTCGTGAATATTATAGTGTGAAACATGTATAAATTAAATGTTTCTTTTATTTTATAATTACCAAACAAGAATAGTGAGGTTTTGTAAAACATATGAAACTATAAATGAACTTGAAAATGTGAA